ATGTCATCATCCCTTCTGTTCTCTCTAGGTACTTGCCCATGGGAGACTGGAGCTACATCCATCCTCAATGAATATCATCTAGTAGTCACTTTTTCCTTTAGTTCCCGTATCCATGCTGCTAGAACAGAGGTGGGTTTTCCATCCACCTCCTCATGTCTTCCCCATGTTTGTGTAGGAAGAACCACAGGTTGCCTTGTGGGGTGTACCCCCTCTCCCTAGCCAGGGAACACCTGCTTCTAATAGCAGGGACTCTAGTTTGCACTGGCAAGACATGGATGATGTTCTCTTTACACTCCTGAGTTTTTGATTGCCATCTCTAACTTCCTCTGCTAGAGTCCTGAGATCTACAGCCAGTTTCTCTATGGAAGAGATGTGGGCCTGTAACAGGAAGTGGACAATCTCATCATATGTCGGGAGTTTATTCATTATAGCACCCACTGTCTCTTGGTTCTCCTTCCAGTGCATTGTCACTAAGAAGTTGGAATATATTGATGGCCCTTGGTGTGCGAGTTTCAACCACATCTGTGATATGCACTTGACCTTGTCTGGGTCATTATTGGGTTGCCTGTCCCTTGCAAAAAGTACCTCTAGCAACACCAGTTCTCTCAGCTGAGGGATTCCTTGTTCCATGGTTCTCCAGGGGCCATGATGCACCTGGAGGTCATGCCTGTAAGCATATCTATCCCTCATACTTGTTAAAAGTCGCATCCAGAGGTTGAGGGGTTCTGATTTCCTCATGAACCCCTGATCAATGCCCACATCCTGGGACAGGGATCCTAAAAACCTCACTTCAGCACCATCCAGGAGTGTACCTTTGCCCGCAAGATCCCAGACTCAGATCAACCAGGTCAATATGGGCTCATCTATTTGTCAAGTGATGTCTTTCCTCAGATTGCATAGATTATTGAACGATAGCAATTCGGTGGTTATTTCTGGTTCTGAGTCCACCGATGGCGAGGGTCCTGCTTCCCCATTGTCATCCACCAGGCAAAGTGATTTGGTCTTGTATTTCCTCTTTTGGACAGGGGTGACTTCTACTGGCTTGTGTTGCCTTTCTGGTTTAACTACAACCTGAGTGGTCATGGTACCTGTTATTTTGTTTCCTTTCCTTTCCCCCTGAAGGTGCTGTACCATACCAAGCAGCATTTGGTAGGCAGTGGCCAGGGCCCAGCGTGTCGCAGTAAGCTGCCCCTCTCTGGAGCTGACACAGCATTTTCCTTCACATATCTTATCACTTTAACAGTGTCCTGAAATTGTTCAGGGATGAACTTCCAGACCATTGGAGGAGAGAAGTTCTCCAAAATCTGGCCCATGTCCTCCCACATTCCAAGACGCTTAAGTTTATCCACCCCTGGGGCAGGCCTCTGGACACCTTTCCTATAGATCTTAGTCCTGTCTCCAAACACAAGGTAGACCATACTGAGGAAACCTGGCAGATATAGTAACAAGATTATGCTATCCCTAGCATCCAGAGGGAATTCAACCTTTTCAAAAACTGTTGCAGCAGACCTGAAGGAGAAAGGGGTTAAAGGCTGGGAAAAATCACACCCCCCCTGTTCCCCCACCGGGGCTAGGTGCCATTATCAATAAAACCCCAGAGGTAGCAACTGAGCCCAGGGCACATAGACAATCCTGAATACACATTCCCAATGAAACTCACGGTCCTTGAGTTTGCCACATTATAAACTGAGGTCACTAAATAGAACATCAACAAAGCAATATTGGTTCTTTTTCCCAGTCTGAAAAAAACCTTTTCATAGGCCAAGATATATATAGGTTTAGGTGCCACACCGACATGAGTAGATTGAGCAGCATGCTGGCTAGGGGTTCTATACCCAATACACAAATGAGTTGTTAAAAATGGTTATTTTTTCACTTCTCTCTCTCAAGCCCCATATTGTGCACCAAATTTTGTCTTGCTTTAAAGACAAATATTGGGAGGCAGGAACTCCAAAAGGATGAACTCCCCTCTCCTTTTATAGAGGGACCAAAAAAAATGTGAGGAGGTTATAAGTGAAAAAATAACAGTTCACTAAAAGGAAATAGCAGTAACTACAAAGATACAAAGGAAACAGTTTACGCACAAAGATGGGAATTCACCACCCATGTGGATTCCCCAGGAACAAAGGGACAGAGGGTTTTTTCCCCACCAACCACCTCCTTCAGGTCTTAACTGCAGCAGTGGTACCAGTTTGAAGTCTCTTTGTTCCCTGGCTTCGGAGTGGCAGGAGGTGCAGCTGTCCTGTGCCAGGCAAGCAGCGAGCAAAGCAGAGAGGCTCCTGGCTGGCTCAGTCATACCTCAGAGCTGTCCACTTCAGCACCGCAACTCTGTACCAGTGTTCCGGAGGAGAAATGGGAGGAGGAGAATTGGCAGGAAGTAGAAGGGACCAAGTTTTGCCACAGTTTCTTTGGGGACTGTCCACACTGCTTTGTAGACTGAGGCAAGATGGCACACTTCCAGTTCCTGGTGTGGCTTTTCTGCTGTCCCGGCCTGGCAGGGACAGCTTCCAGCCATGGCTGAGACCCTGGAAACAACTTTTACCCATGGCAACCCCCTCTTTGCCCCTCCAACTCCCCTTTCTGGAAGGGCAGGGTGGCCCCCTTCAAATGACATAATGGTATGAATATTCATTGTTATAATTCTCTGCTCTGACTTGTAACAATAACAACGAGGCCATGGTTCTGAAATGCTTTCCCTGAAGTGTGTATGAAAACTATTAAAGGGAGAAAGGAGCTTTCAGATTGACTCAGGTTTTCTCATTTACTATAGTTTAAAGAGAGAGGACAGAAAACTTGCTATATTGTCTGAAAAGCTGCCTCTAAATCCAAAAAAAGGAAAACGATTTTCCCCAAAGGCTTTCTGACACAAGTGATTTCTGATTTCTTCCTATTTTGAAACCAGCATTTTACAGGTAAAATTGAGAAGGTGTTAGGGAGGGAAGGAGGAATAACAATGGCTAGCACAAACCAAATGCCCTCTAGGCTGAGACAATTTTGCCAAAAAAAAAAAAAAAAAAAAAAAAGCAGGGGAAAAGATGACACAAACTATAACATATACAAACTTTTTAAAACTATGGAACTCAAATATCCAAATACTTTAGTCCTACAATTTTCCCATCAGTAGTTTATGTTTTTTCTTCCTCCCACAAGGATGTATTGGGTTTGCATGTTCAGGTTTTGGTAGTGGAGGGCTACGGGGATGACTTATGTGAGAAACTGCTAGAAGTTTCCCCCATGTCCTATAGAGCAAATGCCAGCCGGCTCCAAGACAGACCCACTGCTTGCCAAGGCCATGGTAGCACCTCTGTGATAACATATTTAGGAAGGGAGGAAAAAACCCAAACCCTGCTGCACAAGAGCAGGTAGAGCAGAGGAGTGGGAATATGTGAGAAACAACCCTGCAGACACCAAAGGTCAGTGTAGAAGAAAGGGGGGGGAGGTGTTCCAGGCATCAGAGCAGAGATTCCCCTGCAGCCCATGGTAAAGATCATGGCGAGGCAGGCTGTCCCCCCTGCAGCCTATGGAGGTCCATGGTGCAAACCCCACACCAAAGCAGGTGGATGTGCCTGAAGGATACTGTGACCCTGTGGAGAGTCTTTGCTGGAGTAGGCTCCTGGCAGGACCTGTGAACCCTTGGAGAGAGGAACCCCCTCTGGAGCAGGTTTCCTGGCAGGACTTGTGACCCTGTGGGGGACCCCCACTGGAGCAGTCTGTTCCTGAAGGACTGCAGCCTATGGGAAGGACCCACATTGGAGAAGTTTCTGGAGAACTGTCTCCCATGGGAGGGAACCCATACTGGAACAGGGGAAGAGTGTGAGGAGTCCTCCTCCTGCAGTGGCAGAGACAACATGATGAACTGACTGCAACCCCATTCCCCATTCCCCTGCACAGTTAGGGGGCAGGAGGTAGAGAAAATAGGGGCTTGTTGTGGTTTAACCCCAGCCAGCAACCAAGCCCCACACTGCCATTCGCTCACTCCCCCACCAGTGGGATCTGAGAGAGAATTACAATAGTAAAAAGTTAGAAAACTTGTCAGTTGAGATAAAGACAGTTTAATAGGGAAAGCAAAAGCTGCACATGTAAGCAAAGCAAAACAAGGAATTAATTCACTGCTTCCCATGGACAGGCAAATCTTCAACCATCTCCAGGAGATCAGGGCCCCATAACGTGTAATGGTTACTTGGGAAGACAAACGCCATAACTCTGAACGTCCCTCCCCTTCCTCCTTCCCCCAGCTTTATACATTGGGCATGATGTCATATGGTATGGAATATCTCTGTGGTCAGTTGGGGTCAGCTGTCCCAGCTGTGTCTTCCCCCAACCTCCCATGCCACCCCCAGTCTCCTCGCCAGCATGGCAGTACAAAAACCAGAAAAGACCTTGGTTCTGTGCAAGCACTGCTCAGCAACAACAAAAACATTTTTACATTATCAGCACTGTTTCCAGCATGAATCCGAAACACAGCCCCATACCAGCCACTGGGAAGAAAATTAACTCTACCCCAACCAAAACTAGCACAGGAGTGAAGTTGAGCCTAGGAAGAAGGAAATTGGTTTAGATTTGGTTTTATTTCTCATTATCCTCCTCTGATTTGATTGGTAATATATTAATTTAATTTCCCCAGGCTGAGTCTGTTTTGCTCGTGACAGTAATTGCTGAGTGATCTCCCAGTCTTTATCTCAACCCATGAGCCTTTTGTTATATTTCCTCTCCTCTGCCCAGTTAATAAGGGGGAGTGATAGAGTAGCTTTGGTAGACAACTTGGCATCCACCCAAGGTCCAATCACAACAAAGAAATACAGCAAAACTTAAAACCTGAAATTCCATCAACACAGTCTTATGTCTAGTACAACAGTAACACGTACTAGATGTTCCATCTCTAAGACCTCAACTACATCTCTAAGTTAAAATGCTCAGAAACAATTTTGCTAAATCAGGCACTAAAGTAAGTTCACGCCTATCACTACATAAAGTATGAATTTAGTCTGAAGCATAGTCACCTGAGATGATGTTAAACATCCTTGGGTTCAGGATAGCAGGACAAATCAGTCGAAGAAAAACAAAGCCACTGAAATGGAAAAAAAAAAGTATTTTTTTCAATAATGAAGCTATCATAGAATTAATGTAAAATTATGTAGTCTTTAGGCATTTAAGTCAGTGTGGAAATCTTTGTGAGATAGATGACAACCAGCCTGTGCTCCATGTGTTTGTTAATTAAGAATGTCTTGTTATGATTTCAACTATGATAAAAAACAAAATAAAACCAGGTATATTGAAGGTGAACTTCTGAAACCATCTGGGAAAAGCTTAACTGTAAAGCCATACAGTCTGGAGTCTAAGACCACACTGGCTTCAAAAAGGAAGAGCACTTTATTTACTGCCTTCTACAAGTGTTCCACTGTCTACTACCACAAGTAATTCATCCTGCAGCCACTCACTTCTCCAAGCCAACATAAGGAGAGCAAGAGTGCACAATCACAATGGAACCTCTCTTTTGGCATCAACATGGCCTTAGTTCATCTTGAACCAATCCATATCCTGATAACAGTACTTTAATATCCTAGAAGAATAATACTGGATCAGCTACTTTCTTCACAGAAGTAATTGCTGCCACACGGACAATCTAGAAAGCTAGGGAAAAGTGCTCAGTTTGACTGCAGAAATAGGAACTTATTAAACAAACCTAAATTGGCCTTCAGTTTAGCATGAGAAAAATCTAACTTTCTGTTGACAGCTGAAGTAAAAAAAATATCCATTTCAGGTAAACCATAATTCTGGAAGACTGCTATAAAATGAAGTGACATATGGACCAACTAAAGCAATCTAACTCATTTTGTTCAGTGCATGGACACTACCAGCAGACTGGTTTTTCACTACAGCAATACCAAAGTCTGACCTCTTGCAAAAGAATAGAAGTGGACCTTGCACTACCTTCCTTGTAAAGCATACGGTGATGACATTGTCCATTATTAATTGGAAGTGACACATGTAGCAGTGAGGTTAACACACCTTTCACGTGTCCAACACACTTGAATTCCAATATATACTGTTATAGAAGTTTCCTATCTCTCCAAGAACCATGGATTATGGGTTGACAAAACACTCCTGGCACAGTGTGAAACAAAAATATTTTCTATGAGATAAAGCTATGAGGAAGTAAATAATTTTGAAGTCATGGCATGTACATTAATTTCTCTTGTAGATGGCCTGAAGACAACTAGGGTATGAACCTACGATAGACCTTGCAGACACAGAACATTTGGTGCTTCTTACACTGGTCAAGCTGTCTAAATTAAGAATGAGTCAATACCTATGTATGGTCTTTTACAAAGAAACAGAAATGAATTATATAGAAGGGAAGCTACCCAGGCACTTAAAACTATCCATCTGTCTTTGAATATGTAATTATTCTTGGATCAAAGCCAGTGCAATAAAAGATAATATTCTTCACTGGAGGTTGAAAAAAACCCCACAAAACTGTACTCTAGAGACAAATCACAAGTATCCACTTATGAAGAGAGAAAGGGACCCAGTATTTATAGCATCCAGCAGAGACCCCAGAAAAATTCTGAATGTCAGCTGTATCACTTAAGGAAAGCCACATGGTGCTCTCTGGAGATGGGAAGAAACAGGAAGAGACATGGTATTTGCTTCTAAGTTCTATATGCTTGCAATAGACTAGCTCCAGCACCTCTGATAAGAGCAGCCTCAATTTTAAGGCAAAACCCCTGCAGAACACTGTTGGCTGGCATTTTATTGAAGATTTTTCTTCATTAAAATCTTGAGTCACTACTGTTACGAACACTAAATGACAGGGAAATAAGCATGGAAGGTACTGTACTAATTACACTAACATTAATTGAAACTCTGGGGAAGAAGGGCTCCCATGTCTTTATTTCTGTCTGCAGTCAAAGTGATAAACAAGAGCCAATGACAAATCATCTGGAAGACACTGTTCAATGGGAGATTAACCTCAGCAAATCATATCAGTGCCAGATATTGGTCTACTAGAAAGCTAGGCTTGTAAAAAAAAGGGAACGCAAATGTAGAAGATATGTGGCTTTGATACCCTTAAACCCTCAGTATCATTTAGAACAACAGTGTCAAGACCTCATTTTTGTCATATTTTTTTGACCTGCACTGGTAACTGATAGTGTTAAAGGAAGAACTATTTATTCAATTGTTTTATGAATGCAGACTGGAGTTTTCGTACTCAGTGCCAGTTCAAAGGAGACACGTTCAGTAGCCTGCAACATTTTTATGGAGGCTCTGGAATGCTTCAACATGATTGAGCTAGAGCAAAGAAATAAAACAAAACTGGGACAGTGTACATATTTTCAGAAATGAACACTGATTCCAAGTAATCAGCACTGAGAGCCTTCACAGATGCAGAAAACTATATATTCCAATACAGACAGTACCTCAGTGAAATCTAATGACAGTCCAATCACCTTTCTGAGAAGGTATTAGTTTCCTTAACATGTTATGTCTGCATTTTAAAGGACATTCATCTTAGCATGTGTAAGATTTTTTCCAATAATTAACACACACTACATAGGAGTCCCTAAAGGAAAAAATTGATAAGCACACTGAAGTATGACAGTAATAAGACCTTAAAATGTTATTTTCAGCATAGAATAAACTAACAAGTAACTTACCTAACAACTCTTGTTCTCATTGTGGTATTAGTTGGCCACTTGTTTTGAACAGACTTCTGCAAGCATCCATAAATATATCTCAGTGTCCTGTAAAAATAATACTAATTAATAATTTAATCTAAAAATTTTTATGAATAAAAATAGCCGGTCAGAAAGCATCTAGTCCAACCTCCTTCAATTCATGTAAATTAAGTCAAAATCTACTATAACAGTCCATTTACAAATGGTAAAGGAAGTCCTCGACTAATGCACTACTCTATTTGTGCAGGTAAAATTCTGATTATTCATGTGTGCATTAAATATTCTATAATAATTTTGTTCCTATTTCTTCTACAACATTTCCTTTTTCGAAAAAAAATTAAAATCCCCGATGGTTTGGTGGATTCTTTCCTTGTTTGTTTGGGTTTTTCCCCACACACTTTTTAATAATAATTTGTGTATCCATGACTAGAGGTCAGGTTCTTAAAAATAGTTAAGCAATAGTCCTCTTCTATCAAAAAAATAGGAGCACTCTGGTGTATTTCAGAAAATGTTGAGATCCACCATGTACTTAACAGAAAAAAGCTTTTAATACTAACCTTGCTAACACTGACACAAAAGAACCTTCTGTGCTGTTCTGCCATTCTGTGGTGGGTTGACCATGGCCAGCAGCTAAGCCCCCACCCAGTCACTTGCTCACTTCCCCTCCGCAGGATAGGAAAGAGAATCACAAAATCATAGAATCATTTAGGTTGGGAAAAAGTTCTAAGATCAACCAGTAATCTAACACTGCCAACTCCACCATTAAACCACATCCTTAAGTGCCACATCTACACGTCTTTAAATACCTTTAGGGTTGGTGACTCAACCACTGCCCTGGGCAGCCTGTTCCAATGATAAACTACCCATTCAGTGAAGAAATTTTCCCTAATATCCAATCTAAACCTTCTGTGGCCCAACTTGAGGCCATCTCATTACTGGCTACTCGAGAAGAGAGCAACACCCACCTTGCCACAACCTTCTTTCAGGGACTTGTAGAGAGCAATAAGGTCTCCCCTAAGCCTTTTTTTCTCCAGGCTAAACAACTCCAGCTCCCTCAGCTGGTCCTCATAGGACTTATTCTCCAGCCTCTTCCCCAGCTCTGTTGCATTTCTTTGGACACACTCCAGCACCTCAATGTCTTTCTTGTAGTGATGGGCCCAAAATTGAACACAGTATTCGAGGTGCAGCCTCATCAGTGCTAAGTACAGGGGGACAATCACTTCCTTAGTCCTGCTGGCCACACTATTTCTGATACAAGCCAGGATGCCACTGGCCTTCTTGGCCACCTGGACACACTGCTGGCTCATATTCAATCAGTTGTCAACCAGAACCCCCAGGTCCTTTTCCACTGGGCCACCTTCCAACCACTCTTCCCTAAGCCTGTAGCACTGCATGGGGATGTTGGGACCCAAGTGCAGGACTTGGCACTTCACCTTGTTGAACCTCATACAATTGGCCTCGGCCCATCAATCCTGCCTGTCCAGATACCTCTGTAGAGCCTTCCTACCCTCCAGCAGATCATCACTCCCACCTAACTTGGTTTCATCTTCAAAATTACATAAGGGTAAAACCAAGAAAAACTCATGGGCTGACATAAAGACGGTTTAATAGGTAAAGCAAAAGCTGTGCATACAAGCAAAGCCCAGATGCCCTGTGAGGCCTAATCAGCTGACCATGGGGTGGAGCTGAGGTCAGTTCCAAGAGATTTAAACTGCTCCAGGGAACGCAAGTGACCCGGAGCACAGTGAACAGGAGTGCGCAAACAGGGGCATGGCACATCAGTGAGAGTGTGGCACGGCAGTTTGCGCGGCAGTTTGCGCAGGCAGGGCGAGCAGGAAGGGCACAGCCACCCTCCTAGCTTTCTCTGGTGGGTTGTGAGGTAGGTTTATGGCTGTCCATATTTTTTTTTTTTCTGCAACTAAACTCAACCCAGCAATGGTTTCCAAACAAGTGAAAGCTGTTGCTGCTCTCAGGGGGAGTGTGCTAACCCAGACAGAACCCCCCAAGAAGGACGCAGCTGTTCAGGTCACTGGCTCCACAGAGTGTCTGAGTGTGGTGTTAGTACCAGAGGACAGTGCGAGAGATGCCTGCATGCGATGCGAGCAGGTGAATGATTTGCTATACCTGGTGGCAGAGCTTAAGGAAGAATTGGAGAGGCTAAGGGAGAGTGAAAGGGAAATAGACTGGTGGAGTCATACCCTTTCAACCCCAAAGGAAGCCCAGCAGGAGATGGTGAAGCCCTGCCCCTCCTGCCATCAGGCAGATGGAGCAAACCAAGCAGATGGGGGAAAATGGAAACAGGTCCCTGATCAAAGAGGTAAAAGAATCCCCTCCTGACCCCCCCATCACCTCCCACGGTGCCCTTAAAGAACAGATATGAGGCCCTGGACACAGAGAGTCAGAGAGAGGGCAGTCAAGAAGAGGATCTGTCTGGAAGGTCTTCCAGTTGCACCCTATCTACTAGATGGATTACAACCACAGCTATAAAGAAAAAAGAAGGGTAGTTGTAGTAGGTGACTCCCATCTGAGGGGAACTGAAGGCCCTATATGCCAACCGGACCCATCCCACAGGGAGGTCTGCTGCCTTCCTGGGGCCCAGGTGATGAATATTAGTAGGAGACTCCCTGAGCTAATCAGGCCCTCTGATTATTATCCACTGCTGGTGGTCCAGGCTGGCAGTGATGACATTAATGAAAGAGGTCTCAGGCTAATTAAAAAGAACTTCAAGGCACTAGATCAACTAGTTAATGGGACAGGGGCACAGGTGGTGTTCGATTCAGTTCCTGCAGTAGCAGGGATGAATGAGAGGAGTAGGAAGACCCATCTTATCAATAGGTGGCTTAAGGACTGGTGCCGCCAGCAGAATTTTGCTTTTTTTCAACCATAGGGCAAATTCTATGGTACCTAGCCTGATAGAGTCAGATGGGCTTCATCTATCTAGCAATGGTGAAAGGAATCCAGCCTATGAGTTGTCGAGGATGATCAAGAGGGCTTTAAACTAGGTTTGAAGGGGGAAGGGGTTGAAACCAGGCTCTCCAGAGATGAGACTAAGGGTGCAAAACCTGAATTAGAAGTGATATCAGCAGCCCAGCTGAAGTGCATGTACACCAATGCACACAGTATGGGTAACAAACAGGAGGAGCTGGAAGCCATCGTGCAGCAGGAAAGCTATGATGTAGGCACCATCACGAAAACATAGTGGGATGACTCACATGACTAGAGTGCTGCCATGGGTGGCTACAAGCTCTTCAGAAGGGACAGGCAAGGTAGGAGAGGTGGGGGGTGGCTCTATATGTTAGGGAGTCTCTTGACTCTGTAGAACTTGAAGTCAGTAACAATAAGGTTGAGTGCCTGTGGATCAGAATCAAGGGGAGGCCAACAAGGCTGACATCCTGGTGGGAGTCTGTTATAGACCACCCAATCAGGATGATGAGGGTGATGAATTATCCTACAAGCAGCTGGCAGATGTCTCAAAATTACCAGCCCTTGTTCTTGCGGGCGACTTTAACCTGCCGGATATCTGCTGGGAACTCAACACAGCAGAGAAGTGGCAGTCTCGGAGATTCCTAGAGTGTATAGAGGATAATTTCCTGCTCCAGCTGGTAAATGAACCTATCAGATGTGGGGCCCTGCTAGACCTTCTGTTCACAAAGAGAGAGGGGCTGGTGGGAGATGTGGTGGTCGGAGGCCGTCTGGGGCACAGTGACCATGAAATAATAGTTTTCAATACTCAGGGATGCAAAGAGGGCCATCAATAAAACTTCTACCCTGGACTTCTGCAGGGCAGATTTCGACCTACTCAGAAGACTGGTTCAGAGGGTACCTTGGGAAACAGCCTTTGAAAACAAAGGGGTCCAGGAGAAATGGACATGCTTCAAGAAACAAGTCTTGAATGCACAGGAGCAGGCTGTCCCAGTGTGTCGAAAGGCAAGCCAGCAGGGAAGACAGCTGGCCTGGATGAACAGGGAAATTTTAAAGGGAATTAGGGTAAAAAAGAGAGCCTAACGATTATGGAAAAAAGGTTGGCTACTCATGAAGAGTTTAGGAATATATTGTCGTGGTTTTGCCCACCAGAGAGCCCCTGGGGCTGAGGATGGTTTTGTCCAAGTGGATTTCTGGAGAAAAGGCCAATCAAAAGTTTTAGTAACGCCTTTGCCAATTACATATTTAAGAAAATGGAAGAGAAGGCTGTGGCGCAATTGAAATTAGTAACCATGTAGGAGAGGCGGCAGGCCCCAGGTGGGGGCCAGGCCTCCCTACTCCTCCGGCCCTGGGCCGGGGGCAGGTGTAGCACTGAAGCCCCCATTCTCTCCTATAACGGAGTAGAGAAAAAAACTTTAGAGAAGAACTGACTGCTTGGACAAGAATGCTGCAGTAGAAATTCCGGCAGAGAGATAACAAAGTGTTCAAGGCCAAAGCTGGCAGCCGGAGGAGAGAGAAGTTCGAAGGGGGGGCTATTTCTCCCCCCCTTTCACTCTCTCCCTTCAGCAGGGAAAAGACTGAAAAATAAATCCCTACTACCTTTGGAAGATTGTTGGGGTGAGGAGACCCCCATGCTGCTCGTGGAAGAGCCTACACTGGAGTAAGTTGATGCATAAAGAAACTGAGACTTTATGGGAGACCTGAAGTGAAGCAGAGTCCTATTGAAGATTTGTGACCCTAGAAGGGACGAGGTTTACGCCGGAACAGACGGTTCGGGTAAGCTTGGGATCCAAGCAAGGGATCCATGTTGCTGCTGGAAATTTGTGACCCTGAGTTGAGATCTGAGTGAAGGATCCATGCTGGTGCAGCTAAATTTGTGACCCTGAAAGACAACAGAGAATGGAAGACCTGTTGTCTGAGAGATGGATTCACGTCGGAGAAGTCTATTAAGGACTGTTCTCCCGTGGGAAGGGAACCCCACAGGGAACAGGGGTGGACTCAAAAGCCATTATCCCCTGTGACTGTGGTGAAGATCCATGGTAGGCAAGTGTCCTCTTGCAGTCCATGGAAGACCCTACAGGGCCTGGGTAACCCCCCAGCCTCTGGTCTTAGCCCAGGAGGGGGGTAGGCCCAGCCCTGGAGGC